TATATATATATATATACTGCTCAGATATAGCACCCAGACATGGTATATATATATACTGCTCAGATATAGCGCCCAGACATGGTATATATATATATACTGCTCAGATATAGCGCCCAGACATGGTATATATATATATATATACTGCTCAGATATAGCGCCCAGACATGGTATATATATATATATATTGCTCAGATATAGCGCCCAGACATGGTATATATATATATACTGCTCAGATATAGCCCCCAGACATGGTATATATATATATATACTGCTCAGATATAGCCCCCAGACATGGTATATATATATATATACTGCTCAGATATAGCGTCCAGACATGGTATATATATATACTGCTCAGATATAGCGTCCAGACATGGTATATATATACTGCTCAGATATAGCCCCCAGACATGGTATATATATATATATATATATATATATATACTGCTCAGATATAGCGTCCAGACATGGTATATATATATACTGCTCAGATATAGCCCCCAGACATATATATATATATTGCTCAGATATAGCGCCCAGACATGGTATATATATATATATATATACTGCTCAGATATAGCGCCCAGACATGGTATATATATATATACTGCTCAGATATAGCGCCCAGACATGGTATATATATATACTGCTCAGATATAGCGCCCAGACATGGTATATATGTATATACTGCTCAGACATAGCGCCCAGACATGGTATATATATATATATATATATATATATATATATATACTGCTCAGATATAGCGCCCAGACATGATATATATATATATATATATTGTTCAGATATAGCGCCCAGACTGGTTGTGATGGATGTATATGATAAAGTGTGCTGTGATTGTGGTACACAGGGTTGTGATGGATGTATATGATAAAGTGTGCTGTGATTGAGGTACACAGGGTTGTGATGGATGTATAGGATGATGTGTGTTGTGATCGAGGTACAGAGGGTTGTGATGGATGTATAGGATGATGTGTGTTGTGATTGAGGTACACAGGGTTGTGATGGATGTATATGATAAAGTGTGTTGTGATTGAGGTACACAGGGTTGTGATGGATGTATATGATGATGTGTGTTGTGATCGAGGTACACAGGGTTGTGATGGATGTATATGATAAAGTGTGTTGTGATTGAGGTACGCAGGGTTGTGATGGACGTATATGATGATGTGTGTTGTGATTGAGGTACACAGGGCTGTGATGGATGTATATGATAAAGTGTGCTGTGATTGAGGTACACAGGGTTGTGATGGATGTATATGATGATGTGTGTTGTGATTGTGGTACACAGGGCTGTGATGGATGTATATGATGATGTGTGCTGTGATTGTGGTACACAGGGCTGTGATGGATGTATATGATAAAGTGTGCTGTGATTGAGGTACACAGGGTTGTGATGGATGTATATGATAAAGTGTGTTGTGATTGAGGTACACAGGGCTGTGATGGATGTATATGATGATGTGAGCTGTGATTGAGGTACGCAGGGTTGTGATGGATGTATAGGATGATGTGTGCTGTGATTGAGGTACACTGGGTTGTGATGGAAGTGTAGGATGATGTGTACTGTATATACAGCGATTGAGGTACACATGGCTGCGAGTGCTATACATAGAGATATGTTTTGTATATGTCGCTCGAGGTATGTATCAAGCTGTGCACTGAAATGGCTTTTGAAGGATCCTTTGTTCTCCTGATCTGGCCTTTGCCATTTGAAAGGTTAAACCCATTGTTGGGCTTTTGTCCAGCTCTGCACTCTGCAGCCGCCCAGCCATTACATGGCAGAAGCCACCCTACCTGACCCGAGTTAGTGGTGCACTGAGTGGAACAGCAGGTTTATAGCGAGCAGTACATGGAAGGCCTGAGCACAGTCTCTCGCTGCTAATTTCATCAATTTCCTTCTTAAATTATAATATTATTAATTGTGGTTCAATTGGGTAATGCTAGTGTTCCTATCGATACATTTCCAGATATAATGAAAGCCGACAATTAATGAAATATGCCGTTGCAGACAATTAGTTCATTTACTGCGACCCAGAATTGGCTATAGTTTGCCATTTTGGATGTCCCATATCGTGGCTTGATACAATGTTACTTAACCCCTGGGTTGAGACACAGATTTGGGTGTCCATGTTATAGCTGGGGATTCCTAATGGCTGGAACAAGCTGATTAGATTCATTAGGTTCTAGAAAGTGGCCACAATGAATGTATTAATGCTGCAGCCGTGCCCGTGACAGCATTATAAATGCAGAATTCCTGTATGTTTTATATTGTATCAAAGTTGAAAAACTGGTCATTGAGGAAATATTACAATTTAAAAATAAAATTCTTCAAAGAGCTCAGCTAATGCTATGGATATTATTTGAGTCGTTGTTCAGAGCATCAGAGGCGGACGATTAACCCGCTGAGTGTCAAATTGCAAAGAAATGCAGTGGGCACACCGCTGGCATTTAGAGGCCTTGTGTACCAACAACCCTGATGAAGCTTTCTCTGCTTCCTGGGAGAGCTAAATTCATTGCAATTCAGGCTTGCATGGGTTAATTAAAGCAAACATTCAGTAGCCCGCAAAGCTGACACTCAATTAATTTTGGGGAAATTCAGAATATTTAGATTATTTGTACTTTGATCAAGAAGTGACTCCCTCCCCCAGCCAATACAAATGTACTTTCAGAAGTTAAAGTGGGAATTTCTGTGGAGGAGACAGGATAACAGCTATCATTGCATTATAAGGAAAGCATGTGTGTGTGTGTTACAGTGTAGTACTTGCATAGTGTCACGACTGCTTGTGTGGTCCAGCATGCAGAACTATGTAACGTCTACATAGACAGAACAGAAAAGGATAGAACGTAAACCGTACCTTAAAATGGCCGGACTAATACATTAAAGACAGAGAATGGTCAAGGGATAGCCGAGGTCAAGGAAGCCAGAAATTCACAATACTGTTAAACAAGCCAAGTCAGGGAAACCAGAAATCAGAATAGTCAGGAATAGCCAAGATCAAGGAATATGAAAAATAGGACAAGAAAATGCACTCTCGGGAACCAGGAACGGAAACCATGAACCAGGAACTCATATCCCCCCTGTCTCGGCTTTCCTCCAAGCTACACATGTTAAGATCCTTTAACCTTTCCTGGTAAGTTTTATCCTGCAATCCATGAACCGGTTTAGTAGCCCTTCTCTGAACCCTCTCTAAGGTATCAATATCCTTCTGGAGATACGGTCTCCAGTACTGCGTAAAATACTCCAAGTGAGGTCTCACCAGTGTTCTGTACAATGGCATGAGCACTTCCCTCTTTCTACTGCTAATACCTCTCCCTATACAACCAAGAATTCTGCTAGCATTTCCTGCTGCTCTATTACATTGCCTGCCTACCTTTAAGTTATCAGAAATAATCACCCCTAAATCCCTTTCCTCAGATGTTGCAGTTAGGACTCTATATATTCTGTACTCTGCCCTTGGGTTTTTACGTCCAAGATGCATTATCTTGCACTTATCCACATTAAATGTCAGTTGCCACAACTCTGACCTTTTTCTAGTTTACCTAAATCATTTGCCATTTGGCTTATCCCTCCTGGTACATCAGCCCTGTTACATATCTTAGTATCATCAGCAAAAAGACATACCTTACCATTAAGGCCTTCTGCAATATCACTAATAAAAACAATTAAAGAGAATGGGTCCAAGTACAGATCCTTGAGGTACCCCACTAGTGACAAGCCCAAGCTTCAAATATACTCCATTGACTACAACCCTCTGTTGCCTGTCACTCAGCCACTGCCTTACCCATTCAACAATATTGGAATCCAAACTTAAAGATTGCAGTTTATTGATAAGCCTTCTATGTGCAACAGTGTCAAAAGCCTTACTAAAATCTAGGTAAGCAATGTCTACTGCCCCACCCTGATCTATTATTTTAGTTTTCCAATCAAAAAAATCAATAAGATTAGTTTGGCATGATCTCCCTGAAGTAAACCCATGTTGTCTCTGATCTTGAAATCCATGTGTTTTTAGATGTTCAACAATCCTATCCTTTAACATGGTTTCCATCACTTTCCCCACTACTGAAGTAAGGCTTACTGGCCTATAGTTGCCAGACTCATCCCTACTACCTTTCTTGTAAATGGGCACAACATTCGCTAACTTCCAATCTTCTGGGACTACTCCTGTTAACAGTGATTCGTTAAATAAATCTGTTAATGGTTTTGCTAGTACACCACTAAGCTCTTTTAATAAGTTTGGGTGTATTCCATCAGGTCCCATTGACTTATTTGTCTTTACTTTTGACAGTTGAAATAGAACCTCTTCCTCTGTAATCTCACATGTAACAAATGACTCATCTGACCTTTTTCCTAACTGAGGCCGTCTCAGTAATGCCTCCAATGGAACCCAGTCCATGTGCTTGTCAACTACATCATTAAAACCACTGAGAGGTGAAGTGAATAACAATGAATATATTGTTACATTGACACCTGTCAAGGGGTGGGATATATTAGGCAGTAAATAAGTCAGTTCTTGAATTTTATGTGTTGGAAGTAGCAAAAATGGGCAAGCCAAAAGATCTTCTCTCCTCATTGGTCTGCTAGAGGACCCCTATAAGGATTTAAAAGGAAATCATGGAACAACATACCGATTGATAAAGCCACTTCTAGGCGAAACGCGTCTCTGGAGGATCAAAGTAAGATTATTTTACTTTGTTTTACTTTACATATGTTTGTTTATTTGATTAATAAATAGTAATATCTAGAACTTCCCTGTGAGCTCTATCTACTAAACTGGTCCAGTTACTAATGAAGGGTTTGTGTCCTTTTTATAGACACAAGGGTCTATACACTTAGAACCAAGTATCATGGGCTCTATAAAACGTGAGCAGTTTGCAATACTTCCATTTTTTTTTGTCTTTTAAAATATACTAGAAGAAGAGGGACAGTGTTACCTAAGTACACACCGGGCCCATGAGATTAGAGCGTGTCCTAATTAAGCTCTATCCAATGTGAGTGTATCCAATTAGAGCACCATTATTCACTTAATTTTGGCAATATTGCACTCTATATGTATATTTATATTTTTAAAGGGTACACAGCCCTTTATAATTTAAGGTAAGTGTTATAGCCTATAGTGCTCTACCATTGACTCGGGTGGGTGTATATATCACAAGCTAAGTATTTATTGGTTTTTGAAAGTCCAGAGAATTTAATTTGGAAACCCTAAATTTAACCGAGTAACGTTCCAAGACACCGTAAAACCTGTACATGGGGGATACTGTTTTACTTGTGAGTCTTTGCTGAACCCAAATATGAGTGTTTTAAAACTGTAGCACTTTCAATGATGATGATATCATTTGTGAAAGTGCAGTATTTGTGTAAAAAAAACAAAAAAACCTGAAAGGTTAACAAATGTAAACCTCTTTAGTTTAGAAAAACATCGCCTGAGAGGGCATATGATAACATTATACAAATACATCTGAGACCAATACAAACCATTGTGTGGAAATCCATTCACAAACCGGACTTTACATAGGACACGAGGTCATGTGTTTAGACTGGAAGAAAGAAGATTTCGTCTAAGGCAAAGGAAAGGTTTTTTTTTTACTGTAAGAACAATAAGGATGTGGAATTCTCTGCCTGAAGAAGTGGTTTTATCAGAGTCCATATAGATGTTCAAACAGCAACTAGATGCATACTTGCAAAAACAGAATATTCAAGGATATAATTTTTCACTGTAGGGTAATAACTGCTTGATCCAAAGATAAATCTGACTGCCATTCTGGGGTCAAGAAGGATTTTTTTCCCCTAGTTTGTTGCAACAGCAAAAACAAATGTGAGGTAGGCTGAACTTGATGGACGCAAGTCTCTTTTTAGCTATCTAACTATGTAACTATGTAAAACACATATATGAACACTATGTTTGTTCAGGGGTTGTGACTAACTGGTTACTAAAAAAGACTAAACATACCCCATATGAATACCCTGGGTTGTCTACATTTGCAAATGGACTGCCATGATGGGGTAATTCTCATTCCATATTGTTTCAAAGACAACATAGACCCAGCAAACCAATTTGGCAAACTAAAATGGGCAAAGCCTATATGGACCCTGTAACTTTAAAAAATACCATACAACCTGTACATGGGGGATACAGTTATACTCAGGAGACTTCGCTGAACACAAATATGAGTGTTATAAAACAGTAAAACGTATCATGAAGATTATATCATTAGTGAAAGTGTAGTATTTTGGTGAAAATGCAAAAGCCAAATATGGGCACAACCTTTGCCGAGGGTTTGTAAATATGTAGCTACTAAAGCAGACTGGACATACCCATTTTGAATACCCTGGGTTGTTTATATTTGCAAATGCTATGCCATGATGGGGGTAATTTTCATTTCTGGGCTGCAATACGCTCTCACAGGCAACATAAACAAGCAAACCCATCTAGCAAATTTCAATGTGCTAAAACAGAAAAGGGTAAAGCCCTATTTGTGACTCTGTAACATTCCAAAACACCATAAAACCTGTACATGGGGGTACTGTGTTACTTGTGCGACATCGCGGAATACAAATATGTGTATTTTATTGCAGTAAAAGCAAACAGT